TTTAGATATTTTTAATTGAATTTCTTGGTTAAACCTGTTGTTCAATTTTGTAGAAGTTGGGTTGATTGTGCCTACATTTTGTTGAAATCATCCATTAGTTAATAGGTAGTTTTTGATAGAGCTAAATGGGTTGAATAAGGTTTAAAATGGAGGAAGTGTTTGAATATTTGAGATTTCTTTTCTGAATTTATCTTGATTGACATGGTATATAAGAATAATCTAAAAAGGAAATATTTAAGGTTAAGAAAAAAAACAAGTGCTTGATTTGTTAGAAAATTAATATTATTTTTAATATATTGTTTATGATGCTTATAATTATAATTCTTAACCCTTTATATCTAATTGGTTGCAAACTTGCATTATTTTATTCTATTATAATATTCAAGATTCATGATATCAAGATGAAGATTGACCACTTGAATGGAATTAACCCAATTGTAAGTTTTAGTTTACCAAATTTGACTATTTTCTTATCAACTAGTGAATTTGGTTAATATTTTACAATTTTTCTTGAAGTAATCATGTAAATTTTGACCATTTTGGTATAGGGTGTGAGTAATGAGGCTAATGTTGATGTACCAATGGCAAATAGTGCTACTGAGTTGCATAACAACAATGGGGAAGGTGGGAATCTTTGAAAAAAAAATAAAAGGTATACAAAAAAGGTCAAAGGTTTGGTTACACCTCATCGTATTTGATGATCCAATTACTAAGAAGCAAAAAGCAACATGTAATTATTGTGGAAAGGTGTTATGTGCTAAACCTAGGAGAAATGGTACTTCTACCATGAATGGTCATGTTGAATGTTGTTCGAAAAACTCTAATAATTAGAAGAATGACACACTGTTGAAGTATGTTAGTAAAGTAGATGGAAGTAAGACGGTGATTGATTTAAGGACTTGAAAGTTTGGTGAACGTGCAATGAAGAGAGCATTGGCTGAAATGTTAATTATTGATGAAGACTACTTTAGCTTAGTTGAAAAATTAGTCTTTATGAGGTTTTGTGAAGTAGCATTGCCACCAACTTTTAAAATTCCATCTAGGAGAACCATAACTAGAGAGTGTTATGACATCTATGTAGAACTTAGAATTGCCTTGAAAATTTTCTTCAAAGAATCAAATCTAAGAGTGTCATTAACCACTGGCACTTGGACTAGCTTACAAAGAATCACTTATGTGAGCTTGACTACTCATTTCATTGATGCTAAGTGGAAGTTACATAAGAAAATACTCTATTTTTGTCCTGTCAATAGCCATAAAGGAGATGAGTTGGGAGATCTTCTTGTTAGATGTTTCTTCTTGTTAGATGTTTCTTCTTGTTAGATGTTTGAAGGATTAAGGGTTAGAGAAATTTATGCATTAACTATTGACAATGCATTAGCAAATGATGGACTTGTGAGGGTTTGGAAAAATGTAGTGAACAAATGGGGAACTACTATTCTTGGTGGGAAAGACATTCACATGAGATGTGCAACCCACATCATAAACCTAGTTGTTGGTGAGGGTACCAAAGAGAAAGAAATGAACAAGTCTGTGATTGCTATTAGGGCTGTAGTCAAGTATGTTAGGCAAAGTCCTATGAGGTTAAAGAGTTTTAAGGATGCTTATGAGTGGGCAAAAATTGAATCCAAGAAGCTATTGTGTTTGGACGTCCAAACAAGGTGGAATTCACTTTATTTGATGATGGACACTACTAAGAGGTTTGAGGAAGCTTTTGAGAAGTTAGTCCTATTTTATTTTATTTGTATTTTTTGTTTTTAATAGTTTTTAGTTAAAAATCTTAACTATTTATCAAATGGTTGCATTTCTTCTTCTTCTTCTTTTTTTAAGATATGCAAGAGAATGAGTTGAATGATGGCCCTGATGCTCCTAGATTCCCTTCTTGCATAGATTGGGAAAATGTAAGAAAATTAATCAAATTTTTACATCATTTCCATGAGTTGACGTGGAAGGTCTCTGGAACCTTGTATACTACCAACAATTTATATTTTCTCGAGTTTAGTGAGGTAATATATTTTCTTTTATAAGTAACACTTCATTTCAATTAAATTATAAGTTATAAATCTTATTGAATTATTTTACTTGTAGGCTGATCATATACTTTAAAAATGGGAACGAGATGTTGATCTTCATGATCTTGTTGGTAGAATGAGGAAAAAGTATAAAGAGTATTGAGGGAATCCAAGGGAGATGAACAAAAACATCTTCTTTGCAATGGTGTTGGATCCAAGGTATAAGATAGATTATTTGGAGTATTTAATGTTAAAGATGTACAGTCGTAAACTTGATGGTAAACCTAATAATGATGGGCCCTTTTATGTTGTGATGGTCAAACGTGAGATGGGAATGTTGTTTGAAGAATACAAGAGGTTGAATTCCTTTACTATGAAATTAAGTGACTGTCAATCATTTGATGAACAAGGAAGCAGCTCTACCTCTACAACCAATATCCAAAGTGTGGCAAATTCGAAAAATAGAGTGCAAGCATCCCAAGTGAGGTTTGAATACAAGAAGTTTAAAGCTGTCAATGGTAGAAGAGCAGAAAAAACAGAGCTGGAGAAGTACTTGGTAGAAGACCCTGAGGATGAATGAAGATATTGATGTTTTTTAGCGATGGAAGATGAATGAGTATAGATTTCCAACGTTAGCAACCATGGCAAGAGATGTCTCGGTAGTCCCAATATCTACTGTTGCTTCTGAATCATCATTCAATACTGGAGGCAGTGTCCTTGTTGCTTTTCAATCATCATTGACTCCAAGAATGGTACAAGCTCTCATTTGTGCACAAGATTGGTTGAGAGATAAGGCTGTTTCTGATATGGAAGAGGAGGGTTTGGACAAATTGAACAGTTTAGAGAAAAGTAATATACTGTATGCTACATGTTGTTTCTTTCAAATTCAATTATTTACTTAATTATGCAATTGAGAAAATTTTAACCATGAAACTAATTTTTTTTTAATTGATTTTATAGAGTTTGATAAACTTCATTTAGATTCCACCATTCTTGAAGGAATGGTGGATTTATAAATAGTAAGGTATAAGGTAAATTCCTAAACAACTTTAAGTAATTAAATTAGCGTTGAGATAAGTTTTTTCAATCATTTCTTTTGCTTATTTATAATTTCAACTAAATTATTTTTATTTTTGCTAATTGTCCTAGATACAAG